ATAAAATTTGATATCTGGCGTGACTAGCCAGATGTATTCCAAATTATATTATATCTCATGCGTGCAATGCTTTTCGATGCAGTAAAAATTGCATGCAGTAACTGCATATATTAAACCAATCCAAACCAATCCAAACACTCCATCGTTATCATTATTCGATTAGAGATAGGGAAACTTTGTTTAATATATGTAGTAAAAAATTGTATGCAGTAACTGCATAGTACACTGCACTGGACACCAATGATACGTCAATTATATATAAAATCCTAAATTTGTTGGTGCTCTATGCTGCATGGAAATTTATAATAAAACATATAATCTGCACCTCTGTTTGTATAATAATATTTTCCAAAGAAAATATAAATAGGATAGAAAAAGTATTTTAGCGGTAGTAATGTCTTTTCTTCTTCATATCCAACTTACTAAATTTTAAATTTTTCCTAAAACGCAATGTATTCTAAGTTTGTTCTTGTTATTTTATTTCTTTGTCTCTTGACATGGAATACCAGCGCACATCGTCATAATCATAATCATCGCCACAAACCTACGAAAATTAGGTGTGAAACTCCAACTGGGATTCCTTGTTGTCAATCTGGAAGTCCCGGATTTAAATCTTCTGGCCAAACTCATGCTTTTATTCCGCCTGAGATAGAAACTATTCAGAATTCTACTCCAGAAGCATGTTGTAAGGCATGTTTTGATGACCCTGCTTGTATTGAATGGCTTTTTGCTCCAAACATTAATGAATGTCTTCTAAATAAAAACAAAGATACTTGTAATAATCCTACTATGATAAATATTGGTGGTAGTAGTGTATTTTCTCAAGGTGGAATTATGCGATGTGATGCAGATGGTTGTTTGAAATCGAATTAATCAGATAAAGTTGTTTCTAAATATATTTCGTAATATTTATCTTCCCATACATGTTAATCACATTTTTATTTTAATGCAACGATCGTTAATTTAATTTAATACAATAATCATTAATCTTTTAAAATAAACTTTGCTTTAGAATTTTAGTCTTTAGATACTGTACCATTTTCAATAGAAATTCTTGATTAAAATTTTATTACATCATTACTACTAATCTTTCTTATGATTAACATCAAACATAAAATAATAAAACAATACGCAAAGTCTCAAACAAAATTATGCTTAAATCAATGTATTTTTTTAACATAACTAGGAAAATTGAGTCCAAACGAAAAAGGGGTGAGAATTTAACATTGGACCGGGTAGAAAACATTGAGGTAACGATAATCATATTATTGATGTTAAATCATGTGATCATAATTCGTTATCAGAATAAATGTCGTATAGTTTTGCAGTATATCGATATGGGGTCTTGGGTCCAAACCACTTAGAGAATCCACTCACTTGGTGACTGGCGTATCATATAAGTCCTATCCACCTCGACACCTTAGGATGACTACGACAACCACAAGAATATTATTTAAAAAATATTTATAATAAGAAATAATATATATTTATTTAGAATTGAATTTAAGGGTACATTTAAAAAAGATGTGCATTTATAAAAAGTAAACTATTGTACTTAGTTATTTAATATTATTGTTATATTGTACTTAGTTATTTAATAGCGAAATGATAATGAGGACTTAGAAAATAATTTAAATAAATGATATTTTAGAAAGTGAACTTATTAGATTCATTAACACTAAAAAGTTGTTAGTATACTATTTTGTAAAATTTGGGGCTGTTGAACAAATGTTGTAATATACATAATTTATTTTCTATAACAATCCCTGCGAAGCACAAGTAAACTTGCTAGTATAGATATATTTGCTATTATTTTGATAAATTATTGTTGTTTTTTAGTTATATTCAATCTTGTGATTGTTCTATTTGTGATCTTTCTATATCATAAAATACCCAATAAAGAGCATGAATCACACCTGGAATATAAACAAGTGTACCAACTAAACTAAAAATAATATAAATATCTTACTAAATTTTGATTTATCACCCTCAGTAAATACTAAAACAACACATAATAATAAATGAAAAATATATGCTAATAAGTATAAGAAAAAAATAATGTTTTGCAACATCCATATATAGCAAAAATAATGAAAAGAAGGCAAAAAATTGAAATGAACATATAAATTATTATATTTTCAGTATTTGATGTCCCTATTTATTATAAATATGTATGAATTATATAGACCAACAGTGTGATTATTACCTTCGGTTTGATTATTAGCAGTAGTTGAACGTCTTGAAATATTTTGAGGTGTAGGTGGTGTTACATCTATTTTAAAATAAAAGTATTATTTAATTCAATTAAAAATAAATATATATTAACAAATAATAAGCTGCTTCTATGGTTATATATAATAAATAGTAGAAAATAAAGAATACAAACTTGTAATTAACCATAGTACTCAATGAATTAGATAGTGATCAAGCTCCTTTTAATAATAACTAAGAATACGTACAAGTTACATTTGCAATACAAAATATTAGCAAATAGTAATCAATGAATACAGCTCTATTAATAAGAGCAGGTAAGACAGATACAGTACTAAAAAAGTTAAGCCTGATTCTGGATAAGAGATCAACTATCAGAATGGATATACAATATAACACTAGAAATTTCTTTATAACAAGACTGTAACTCTAAAGTGATATTTTTAAAAAGTGCAAAAGTGCATAAGCTAATTTTTCCTTTTATTAGAACCAAGATTATTATATAAAAGATTTTGAGTTAATATAGTTACTTATCATTATTAAAGATACTGTAAAGGTAAATATATCATATAAATTTGAAATTTTATGTGATGTATACAAAATTTGCTGCTTTGCAAATTATAAGAAACTTGGGCATGATTCTTATAGGAATTAAGCATCATTTGTAAAAGGCACATTGAATTTTTAATACTTTAATAATTTTAGCAAAAAAAAGCATTGCAATAGATTTATTTACTACATATAATCAAAAATAAATCTTTTTTTGTCTTCTATTTTGATTCTTTGTTAGATTTGCAATTTCTTCATAAAACTATATCCTGTGCATTATTTGAAGATAGAATCAAAAAATTAAAAAAATATGAATAAAATAAAAAAATTAAATGCTTTATTATTATGCAAAACAAAAATGATGATCTAACTTTATAAAATATCATAATGATCGTCAAAGTATAATATAGCAAATAGGTCCTAATTAAAAGATAAGCTATTGTGAAGTTATACAAAGAAAAAGTATTATGTTTAAAGGTTATGTCATCTTTTCATAATACTGACCCCTATGACGCAAATCACTAACTCTTCCCGACGATCACTTGCACCAAATTTCTCTTGAACATATTTGCAGTTTAATCAAAATTTTATTAAGTAAACTACTTTGGGCTGCCTAAGTAAAGTTGCTCTACTCTTAATTTTACTTA